AAAAGTTAAAAGTAAAAGTAAAAGTAAAAGTAAACGTAAACGTAAACGTAACGTAAACGAACGTAAGAAGTAAAGAAAGAAGAAGGTAAGAAGACGTAGCGTGTGTCGTGTGTGTGTGTGTGTGTGTGTGTGAGAGAGAGAGAGAGAGAGAGAGAGAGAGAGAGAGTACCACGAGTATGAGGCCAACTGATAGCAATGGAGAAGACCGCGATTTTTGGTGCAGAGCGCTAGCAACTGGCAATGAAGAGCTCTCTGCAAACCTCCTTGCATTAGGGTTTACTTGCCTCCTCGACATGGCTCCAATCTCTCCAGCAACAAATCAGCCCTTCACCCTAACTACACAGACCAAATTCAACAAATAGGCAAGCCAAAAATCAGATCAAACCAGATCAATTAACCACTAAAAGGATCCAGCATTCTAAGCAAAAATAACCAGTATTTTCTCTCACTACGAAGCATAATCAAAGTTCCTAAAGAAAACGTTTGCATCATGGTGGATCCAGAGCGAATTCCGCTAAAACTCCCCCAAAGACTACAAACTACAACCAGTTTAGCTGATCTAGGTCATCAAAAAGCACAAAAAGAAGCAGACATTTGCAGAAACCATGAATGAGTTTGACAGAAACCTTACATGGTAAATGAACGCAAAGACATTGCATATATGAATAAAGAGCTAACTGAGTCTGGTTAGGGTTTCAGAAAGTAGTGGACCACGATCTTTAATGGCCCTTTTCGCTAAGGCTCTGTGAGCTACTGCTTATGCTTCTCCCCTTTACAGCCAAAAGCCAGATTTCCTTCTTCTCCGGATTATAATATATATATATACAAGAGAAGGGATCTGGTTTTTCTTTGATTGAAATCAGATTCGTCAAAGAAGCTGTTTAATTTAGAGAGAGAGCTTTGATTGAATTCAGATTCGTCAACAAGTTGTCTTAGAGAGGAGAGAGAGGAATGATATCTGGAGAGAGAAAGAGAAATGAAATCTAGAGAGAGAAAGATCGGCGCATGAAAGGGACTTTCACTGCCACGCTTTTGTGTCGGCAACATGGAGCGCTTAATGACACGTGGCATTAACAACGGACGGCTGTGATGAAGCCCGGCTCATTTCCCTACAATCAAGATGCTTGGGGAGTTCAGTAACTTGAATGATGATATTTTTGCCGAAGACTGTCCATCATCAACCATTTTTAACGGTGATAAAACCATTTCTACATAAGCTGGTTTTGAAATTGTTTCTCTGCGCAGTAATTATTTATGGAATAATATGTCATTATTGTGATTTTTTTTTTGTAGTGTTAACAAGATTTCATTAAGACCTGTCATTATTGTGACATTTGCTCAGGAGTATCAAGAGAGAGAATCCAAACATTGTTTATCTGACATATGTTTATCAAAAACTTCAGCCAAAGGGTGAAAAATGGATGTTTCCATGAGATCATATCTCTAGGGTGTGTTTGTATAAGGCTAAGGCCTTAATCAATCAAAGTAAGGTGTTAAAATATTATTTTAGTCTAAAAAAATTTTGTGATGGTCTAAAAGTTTATTAGACTGATGGTTCAAAAGTTTATTTTCATTTAATTATAAATTTTAAAAATTTTAAAATAGTATAAATCAAACAGATCTATGAACACTTGAAAATCTTGAAATTGTCAGTCTAAATAATACATTACAAAATGCTTGAAATCTATTTTGTCTCGTGTCCATACATCTTGAAATCAATGTGTATTAAATTGACGGTTTTTCAGCATTGAAACAACCTCTTTTTGATAAATTTTTTAGATGCACCTTAATTTGATTGTTTAGGGCCTGGCCAAACTTTTTTCCATATCGTTAACCACTTCAAAGATTAAACATTTAAGAGTTTCCCAAGGGCATGAATGTTCATAGGATAGGCACTTACTCAGAGACATGTGCCTATGATCCTCTAAGCACAATCGCTTGCTTAAAACGTTCAGGCACTTTTTAATTTCTTATTAAAGTTCCACCATAAAAATGATTAATATCACTTAAATTCCCACTTCCAGTCAGTGTTTAAGAGCATAAATGTGTCTTATCCAAATTAATATTTATGATACTCACAACTATAAGAAAGTAATCCAGGTATTTGTTCCCCTTAAATGCAAACATAAGTTGTACAAGAGGAATATGGTGTTCTTTCCCACATTTATTTAATTGATCAAACACAAAGTCCAAACGAAAAAAATTTAACTTTATAACACACTTAAGAGCCAGTTTGGATGTCCAATAAAAAAAAATTTGTTATTCATAAAAATTGCAAGTTTTTCAAATGGCAATTGAAAAAAATGTAAAGTCTTTTTTCTATTCTTATAAAGTCGTTTGGGTGTTACACGAGGATTTTATTTTAGCCCGCAATATGGATTTGTATTACTCTGTCACAAAACCCTCCCCTCACCAAAATAGTCTCCCCCTCCTCCCCTCTTACCTCTCCTAATCTCTTTTCTCTCTCTGCACATTTTGGTTCAGTGTATTAAGCTTACCCTCGCTCCAAGTATATGGTTTTTGTTGATTCTAATGATCCCAGGGTTTTCTGCGAGAACTTATCCATCTCTGCAAATTTGGGGTTTGGCTTATCTTTTATGAACGCTGGGGTTCTCTCTCTCCAAAAAATTCCATCAAATCAAGCAAGAAATAGAGAGACCCAAATCCAAAATGGGTACCTCTTGTTTTGTTACAGTGACCACATATTTTTGCTCCAAATCTCTTGCCCCTCTATTTGAGCTCTCATTTTTTTTTGTATTCACAATCAAAGTTCCCTTAATCAATTTATTGGCGGAAGAAGAAGAGCCATCTTTTATCGGATTTATGAGCTTCACCTTTGATGAAGCATTTCCCTTGCTTTATGAAGAAGCCATGACCCACAAATCTCATCCCAAATCCCTATTTTCTCTCACTACAACTTCGAGAGAAAAAGTGGATCCTCGAGAGAAAAAGTGTTGGGCTCAAATCAAAGATGCAGCTAAGCCTCACCATGACCAACTTCCCCTCCTTCCTTTCAAAGGAAACAAGAGAGAGAGAGAGAGAGGACTACAACTGGGGATTAAATATGGTAACCTTGGCTTCAACCTTGAATCAATCATAGACTCTAGTCGATACAAATGCTTGGTGCCACCAAACCATTAACAATACCAAATGAGCTTCTTAGAGAGATAGAGAGCGCGAGAGAGTTTGGTAGCAGGGTGCTAGAGAGAGAGTTGGGTTTCTGATTTGCAATTAGAGAGAGCGAGAGAGAGTTGGGTAATGGGTAAATAGCCAGAAAGCTGGGTGTGGGGTTTGCATGGGTGTGAGAAGACCGCACTTTCATCCAAAAAAATTCAAGTCTAACTTGAATTGTTTTGAATGATAACTTTTGCCTTGACACGAGAGTAGTTTTTCTTTCAATCTAAAAATCTAGCAAAATCATGCAGTTATCCAAATGGTTCAAAGTCAATTTTACAAGATTTTTGGATTTCAATTTTGGGTTATCCAAGCTAGAACTAAACTGTCAAATTTTACATTTGATGGTTATAAGCAATTGTGACCTCTTTGTACAATCGATATGTCAAATTTTACATTTGATGGTTATAAGCAATTGTGACCTCTTTGTACAATCGATAAATTGTCTCATTGTATACACTCCTTTCTTTTATTTGTCATAGCAAATGTCACAAACCCGGCGCCTGACCCCTACCGTACTAGCCGGATGGCGATGGAGGGCAGGATCGCGATCACAGCAAAGCTCATAGAAATCAATCTTAACCCTTTGGACTAAAGATTTTGATTGTATTCCAATACCCAAATTTAGTTGTCTACATATGCATTATGAGGTTTTTCTCCTTATGTATGGCCATTTTTGGTCCCCCATGTGAAGGACACAGAATTTAGAGAAAAGGTTTATTTCATAGCTGAATTTATGCGAGAAGCTGATTTTATCCGTTGATCCAAGTTTGTTTTGAACCAATGACAAATTAAAGGGACAACGCCATATTACCATTGATTTGTGAAAAGATTTCTTCCTCCCTAGGGCATACTACCTATTTTTCTCTCGGGTAAATATAGATACTTTTTGGATCTCAAATTTTGGGATATAATCTTTACAAGCCACATAATAATCTCCGCAAACAAATTCCTCAAATAAACTCTCTATGTACAAAAAATTTTGAAATAAACTTTCTATGTACTAGAAAAAATTTATGCCTCAAGATTGAATAGAGACTGTTCAATTTTTGAATGGCTAGACTTAAGTGTCACAAAACTTAAAATTTAAAGGGTTCATGGTGGTAGCACCCCCACACCCTAGTCACTATGTTGTGGTTTCCATTTCCTCTGACACTACCTCATTAACACCTTCAAAAAACTAACTCCTAAAGTAATTAAAAAAATAGGGGCACGTCTTCCCTACTAAATTACCCAAAAAAAAAAACTTAAAATTCAATTTTTTTTTGAAAATAATATTTTTTCTTTAAAAAATAACCATTTAGTAATTATTATGTGTTTTCCAAAATTTTAGACTAAAAAGATTCTCCTAAGTAGATTTTTTGAGCGAGGGAGGAGATGCGATTCATCCACCCTAGTGAGCATAGTGGTGTGTGCAGAAGCTCTAAACCCGATGGGTTGATTTTCGGCAAATAAACTATGAGAAATAAAACATAAAACAAGTACCACAAGAATACAGATTTATGTGGTTCACCCCAAAAAGGCGGGCATAACAAACTGAAATCCACTATACCAATGAAAGTTACTACTATGTGTCATTTTTTACGTACTTGTATCCCCGGGACAAATAAAGAGAAAGTCGGTAGTAATCTGGCCCCGTCGATACCCAAGACACCTCGAGACCGCAAGAACACCATATCAATAAGCCTAATATTGGGTAACCATTAAAGAAGTGTCAGAATGGCCTCAAATTTACATGAAATGGTAGTTTCGAATACCCTAAAAATACTCGTAAAGTTTTGTCTCATTTCGACAAGTTTTGATATGATCAGGATGAAACTTGGTTTTCAAATCCAGTTCCTATCATGCTAAAAATGGACCCTATATATATAGCCCTAATTTATGGGTCTCAAAACAATATAAGACTATCGCCACTGGATCTGAAACATAGAAAAACCCCGAGGTATCAAATTTCGTCTCAATCGGACCTTCGGGGACCATTTTGGGCCGAACTTACCATAAAAAGTTTTACACTATTACGGTGCAGCCTCGGTGAACTAGTTTCCATTTATGCAAACGGTGTTTTCTCATTTCGGGATGATTTTTAAATGCTCATAACTTGCTCGTTTTGAGTCTAATTAAGCTCAAATTTGGATACGAGCTAGATCTCGATGATACCCGTGACATATGACACGCATCATGGCGTGACCCAAAAACGAGAGAATTTCTAGAGAAAATATGGGCTCGAAACATAGAAATTTAGATTTTAAAAAGAAGAACATCCAATTCTTTGAGAGGGCAAAGCGCAATATCCTGATGTCGGATCGACACAAGTATAGGTCTGTTGTGACCGTGCTTCGAAGAGCTACAGTTTGATATAGTTTGTGTGAATGATCGGAAGCTAGATGATACTGAATTTTAAAGTTGAAGATGACATACTTTGCCGGTCGTCAGAATCCCATTTTCTAGCGACTTCCCAAAATTGGAACGTGCACAAACGGAGACCAAAATGGACAAAATTTATTACAAAATGATTGTGATAGCATCCTCTTCAATTTGTGATCAAAATGAAGGCTTGGAACATCATAGATCGTGCCAGATTGGTGATTGAAGAATCATAAGTTTATAAAACTTGGCCGGATTTTGGGTTTTTCTTTAAAAATCCGTCTAAAGACAATCAAAAGGTATCAAAACATGAGCAATAGTTCAAGCATTAATTTTATGATGTTTGATCACCTGAATTGCCACTATAAGTGTCCGAAAAAGCTCCCGAGGCCTAACAATGACAAGAGTCCCCTCATAGAGTGATGGTTTTGTCATTTGTTGAAAAAGTACTTAGGGGTAT